TTATCATCATCTCTGCTATCATCAGTGAGCACATAACATTAGATAACATTCATTGTAGTTCCCTTCTTTGTTTTGAGGGATGATTTCACGATCCTGGATCAGTGAGATTACCATTCTATAAGTGCATTGCGTGCTCCTTTGGACAACATCAAAGCAGCTCACTCTGTGTCTGGAGCATTTTCTTCTTCGTGACGAGAGAAAAACGGCATTTTTCTGAGTATATCATGTTCTGTCCAGCTTGAGTCCAATTGGTTTCACTTATTCCGAGTTTATCTAGTTATTTGAACACAATCATAGCCAAAGTTATTATTATTATTACTATCTAAGCACATGAACATTGGTACAATGAGGCACCGAATACATATGCACCACAAAAAACCGTTCGATTTGTATGAGGGCTGGAATACTGCACGGGTGCCCAAACCGAAGCTGTCGGTTCTCTCAGGGAGCCACAATCCGAGCTTTTGACCCAAAGGTCTAATCCACAAGGCAGTGGAGCAACGTTAGGAGGTGCAGTTTCATAGCAGCCGGTGACCAACAATAGGTTCATACACCATTTTCCTCAAGATCCTGGAGCCCATGCGCACCATTGGTTTGAAATCAGGGTTTTTTAACTCTTTTTAGGTAGATCCTTCGTATCAACGAACCTGGTTAAAGCACCGGACATTCGCTTTTGATCCTTTCAATCTCGTAAACAACCCCCTCCCGGCTACGAGAAGGCAGCGGATAGGACTTCCCTGGCAGTAGTTATGTCAGATCCATGTCAGAGCATTGAGAGAGAGAGAGCGAACTCTCTCCACTCTCGGCCGTCCAGGGCATTTGGACCGGGTAAGTGCATTAGTAAAAGTTTTTAAATATGACGTTAGCCCAAACGGTACTAACTAGCAAGATAAGTAGCATAAGAAAGAATACAGCATTCAAACCAAAAGATACGATTATGAATAGGTGTAGGTGGGTATGTCAACCTCTACTGAATGAACTCAAGCACAACCCTCCCCACTTACCCGTGGCTATAGAACTACAAATGGAGTTAAAATTCCTGTGAACTGACATTTTAACTGTTCGATACAAAGATCCTCCATTTTCCAGATCAGAGTTTCGATTGTTCAAAGTGACTTTATTATGGTAAATAACTTTTTAACGAGATTTGCTCTAACGAGTTGGAGTTGCTATACCTGCAACCGATTTTCTTCCGCAGCAAGGATCGTAAGGGAGAGAAGGTTTGTTCAGCTGAAGTAGCTAATTTGATCTTGACCCAAATTGATGGTTAGTGGCTTGTCACACCCTCACTACAAAAAAATACTAGGTCCCCTCTTCCCTGGAAAAACGGAAAAAGCCCCTTTTAATCCAGGTGTCCGAACACGCAGGACCAGTGAATCCGGATGGACAGACGGACTTTACTGCATTAATTAAATTCACTCAAGGTCTCTGATCAATGTCAAAACGTCAGGAGACGGAAATTGAACATCTGATGTTAGTTATATATGCTAGGAATGAATGAGTGACAATGTTGATATACACGATATCTCCCAAACTTGATTGCTCGAAATTCAGTGAATAAATATCATGATATTTGCACTATGATTACTTATAATTTAATTGTAAGACTTTTTCTGTACCGAAATTTCGTACGCAAGGTGACGGCGCGTTTTTGGAAATATCCCTTTTTGAATCTGCTTAACATTTTCATTGGATGTTCCATAAATATCAAAAGAAAAGCAGCTTTCCGCTGCTACAAAATACTTCGACACCATATCGCGTTAAACGTGAATCCATATCAATTCCAGATTGTTCGCAGGATACTGGTTATGGTTCTCGTTCTTCGACTTTCCTTAGTCCCGGCCGCACCTCAGAGAAAGATATTTTTCCTGAAAGTATAGAAGTTTTTGGACGTACCGGCACTAGAAATTCGTGAGTTGCTCTACTTTGTTCGCTCACTGTTCAGTTTACGGGGTAAGCGGCGTGTTGATATATTGTCTGCCCTGATGTCTTTTGAGAAATCGGAATATATACTTCTGAAAGTTCTTTGTTACCTGACTATTTCTGACCGTCTTACAGTACTCAGTGTTTGCAAGTCTTGGTATTCGTTAAAATTTCGCTTTCCACGGCTGTTTACCGCTAGTAGAAAGCATGAGGTGATATTAAAGGTACGTTGCACATGGTTTATAAACCTTAATTTAGGAGAATTCGGCCAAGGGTTCACAAAGATCAACAACCAGCCGTAAACCGTTGAGTGCGATCAACTGTCTCAACTCATGTACAATTAAGAATAGAGTTGATAAGTTTGATACTAAGGTAATGAAGTTTGCAAATTCGCTAAATATGCTGTAAATTTCTGATAAGTCAGTCAGTTTAGAAAGCATGTGTTTAGACACCCTCAATGGGTTCACTAAACCACGGTCCATCATAGATATTTATCTTCAATAATTCTGACAGAGGGGATCTCCCCTTTACAATGGTGCATTGTAAATATGTCTCACAAAATTTGCATTATATATTTGGACAATCCTAAGCTCTTGGCAACATTAGGATCCAACATTCTAGTTTAATTGGCAAAAAGCAAAAGTTATACATGTTAACTGCATGTTTCGTTTCAAGTCTACCACTATGGGGTAGGTGGTATTAAATAATTGTAGTGGTAACACCTGGTCCCAAGCCAATATATAGTGTGCTTTTTGACAATAATAGTTGTACTGTTCTTCAAAGAGGGTTATTTACTAATAAAAATGCAACTCGTGACTTAAACCAATTCCCCCTGAGTTAGATTCTTGAACTGAGTATCTGCATTTACACCCCCCACTTTATGGATGGAAAAATGCCAGTTAAATTAGGTCGTTACCACACCGGGTTGTGTCACAAGCACTACTGACTACTAATTACACAGAATTTATTACTACTTGATCACTAAGCTTTGTAATTTTTACTTTGTACGCTTGTTCTTAGTTTTAAAAATGCTTAGTTGCTACCAAAGTTTAGCGGGTGATGATGTCTATACTCCCATTGTAATTTGAAATATTTATTTTAGGATAGTAGGGTGATTTTATTTATCAAATGTTTGTTTAGAAAGTTAATTTACTATTCAGACCACATTCATGGGAACCAACGTAGCCAAAATCGGCCAATTTGCCATTTTAGATCATTGGCATTGCTATTCACAAAAACCATTTCTAAATGCACGTTGTGACTTTTTAATTTTTGGTGAGCCTTTTATTTTCTATTTACAACTTTCTTCATTAAATCTCTTATTATCACAAAGGAGTTTTTGCATCCATGTCCCGTATGCTCTGGAGTGGCGTTTTATAGACCTAACGAATGGCCGAATCGTTTGCATTGTCAGGCTTTGGATTGTGGTATCTCTGTTTGTTATAATTGTCAACGGGAGCACTCGCCGAGTGATAAATGTCAAATGACACCAAACTCGCCAGTATACAGGTATGGTTCTTCGTATTGTACGTCTGACTTTCTCCAGAAATTATTTCAATTTGTTTGTATTTCGAGGTCTCAAAATTTATCGTCACTTTGGTACACTATCAGGTGTCTGTGTAGCTATTCTTTAAGTTAGTGTACAGTGGTGCCATGACGATACATTTTGAAAATTTTCCTTAAACTAGATAATAATATGAATATGTACGGACAAAGGAGTGTTTATGTTTAAATAAAAATACAGTCATGGATTCCAGGTTTGATGTTCCAAATATATATATATATATATATATATATATATATATATATATATATATATATTAGTATTGAGTATAAAACCACATGTTCAAGTGTACTCAGATATGTAGTCAATAAGAAGCAAGTTCTGATTCAGGATCTGAATTCATGAAAAACTTGTATATGCTAACGTCCCACTGACAAAAAAATCACACAGTAGGGACATGTAACAATTAAAACACTAGTCTGTTTGTTCAAAGTGGTTTTTATGTTGAATTAGCAAAAACTCATCGCCACTTAAATCCCAGAAGCAGCTTAACGTGAACTTGGCAATGCTACTGTCATTCCACTAATTAAGCTCCTTACTAACTGACGACACTGCCTCTATAAAACTTGATATAACGTGCATGACTAGATCTGACATAAAATGTTATCTGTTATTTGTGAACGAAATCTGACTCCGGCATGAAACAGCTGTTTTTTATAGCCAAAAGTATCACATGGACGAACTGCACGCTCGTTTTCTAACCAGAGCCAACCCACCTATGATTCACCAATTAGTAAGTACCTCAACCCCCTAACCAACAAATATGGCTCAAGACTAGTTGAAAGAACGTGTGACTGATTTTAATAACAGCAGCTAGTTTAGACACGAGTAGGTTAAATACGCTGCTACCGGTTATTTCATTTAAGACTAGTCCCAAGGACTATAATGTGCAAAATTCCCTTTGCTTGCAAACTCTCATTAACCTTGAATAAGTTTCTCAGGTATCAAAACGTAAGATACTTCTATGACGAGGTACATAATAAGTGTTCCCAGAGTCCATTAGCTAATCATAAACTTTTAAACCTGCCATTTGCCATATGAATACTGATTTAACCAGTTAAAATGATTGATTTCGAAATTTAGTTGTTACTCTCACAATGTTGAACTGCTGAAAATTCATATAATACCTTATCTTGTTTAGATTGTCTCCCATTCAACCTCGGGCATCCCCAACTCGCAGTCCAAGAGCCCGAGCCCGGTTAATGAAATCTTCTCTTCGTCGCTTGTAATTGCTTGATTTTACTGTACCGTAGTTCTTTCATATGTACATACTTTTTGTTTTAAACTGTTACCCGTAGTTTTTATCATAATATATACTTGTTTTTGCCTGTTTCGCTAATTGTTGTAAAATGTGAAGCTTACGATAGTATCTATTTACGTATGTGTTTGGAAAGTATGTAGTTAAGTAGTCGTCAACCAAATAAACTTATCACTTTACATCCTAGTAAATGTTTTGACACCTACGCTATTTATACAACAGCTCGATGACTATATTTAAAAGAAATGTAACCATAGGTATAAGAATATTGTATTTGTATGATACAATGTGCAAAATTTTCAGTAATTATAAGAAGAAGCTGTTTATAAAACAGTTTCAGCTACTCATTTACAGAGCTTATTCCCTTACTAGGATTCGTTTGTTAAATTAGGCTTCCAAAAACTTTGGTTTCTCATCAAATGAACTCGAGGAGTTAGTGATTTTAGAATCAGATGAAATGGGTGACATGATAGAGTAAGATACATCGGCACTTTGTGTCCACAAAACTCTCCTGGTTAAATTGATAGCTTGATCACGTACTTGTACAGCTGCTGTCGACACTGTGCTAGATATGTGGCTTAGTGTTCGTGAGTTTGTAGGGATCTCTGTGCATTTGTTTTGGAAAGAAACGTCAGTGTGTACATCTTGGTTGCATTGAGTTGGTCTTCGTTTTTGTGGCTCTTTATGACTTAAACTACAAGAGGATTTCAAACGAGGAAAATTGACTTTATTTACTAAACACAAATCCGAACAGACCAGCAAGAAAGCATAGAATAGTGACATGTAAGTGCAATAATCCTGAAAAGAAATCTCTGACAGAAAACACAACCACCGTGTTAAATCACACAAAAATGAATCAAAAACTTGCAAACAAACAATGTATTAAGATTAAGCACTGCATCCATACACATGTAATTTTGAAGCAAACTAAGATTAGCGAATTAAAATAAAGCATTCTGTTGCATATTTACCGTTGCTGGTAATCGTATAGATACAAGTGTAATACCTTAACAGTTCTTCATCATTTAGATCCCATGAGACAAGATCGATGCCTACTTCAACTGGTGGACTGTAAATAATAAATCGAATAGAAACCATTGAGAATGTATACGAGTAATTCTTTTCAAAATCGATGTGAATCATACACTTTCTGGACTTACTTTGTAATGAATTGGTGGTTCATATTGAGTTTCCAGAACTTACTTCTGAAGGGGTTGGAATTAGTGTTCCGCTTCACGTAACTGTCTTACTAACTGGAAGAGCAATAGTTGCACATTTTACATTCCGAAATCTTCCAAAGTATTGTATTATGCGAAACATGTTGGTTATTTTTTAATTATGAGTTATGGACTAAACACCTAAGTCCTAACCAAGAGATAGTCATCACTTGAAAGCGTATCCATTGAAATGTTATTGTTAGCTGAGTTACATCACAAGCTACCGTATAGTAGTTATGGTTTGTGACTGAGTTTATATGTTGCGTTTGATCATCGCATAGCACTTTCTCAGAAAAGTCGCAATTTCCAATAGGGTCGTAGGTGATATCTCCATATATGCGTAGCTCGACAGTCTAATCTAAACCACTTGTCAACAAGTGTACCATACGTTATGCGTTAAACACAAAAAACACAGTTGTCACTGTAGTTCCCTTCGATAGTGAGATAAGTTATATTCATTTAATGAATTCCAAGAAATAATAGAATCATAACTATATAGAGTACTAATATTTTGAGTGTTATATGCAAAACTAGGGACTTACGCGTTCATGCGTGCATAATCCAGCTGAAGTTTAGCAAATAAGCTCGACTTCAAGAGCTCGTTAATCCGGTTAAAATGTACTGTAGCTTTTGAGATACTTCTAACATTACTAAATACATATATGATGGCAGAAAAAAGAGTTAAATAACAGTAAATTATATCATCTTGAGCGATTTGTAAAAAAAATTAAGTTTCTGATATTGACTGTGATATACACTTTTAGAACCCTATTAACACCACACAAATATAATAAAAACTACTTTAGGTATTTAGAGTTGCATTAGACTTTATGTACCGTTCACAGTTGAAATCTAAATAAAGACAAGGGAAACATGTTTGATATTTGTCTACTTGTGATCATTATGGAGTTATCCGACTTGAGTAAAGAGAGCACACAGTACGAACTGATTCATGCTGCATTGACAAACATGTGTAGAATACAAGTACCAATAATGGGTTCCACTATGGCATTTATAGTGTGGTGGGACCAAGAAGTAAGTATTGCTGTCAGGCATCATAGTTTAAATAAGAAGAGGACGTTAGTCAATGAGGTTTTAAACTATAGTGTAATAAATAATCGGGAAGACTAGTTGTGAACTGTGGTAGATAGATGTATTACCATCTACAGAAGTAAATTGACTAGTTGAGAGGTTTTACTTTCATAGCTACTAATTATTTATCTTCTTTTACCACATTGACATAAGATGTAACGACCATAAACGATGCGTATTTGTATCACTTAATAACTTGTAATTTCTGAGTTTCTCTGGATAATTACGAAGACAATTTGAATATTTGCCACGGACTTACTCAAGTGCATAGTCAAGATCATAACAAGAACCACGTAACTGTGAATCTAAATGTTCGACTTTCAACTACATATAAAGAATATTACAAAAATATTAGAAATTTTCAACTTGGTATTTCAAGATTTCTGGAACTGATTTTCTAATATGTTCTTGAATATGGAAATAAGCCAGTGAAGGTTCATTTGCAAGTGAAATAAGTAGGTCAGAAGTGGTTTCAGTCACTACATTAGCACAGAATTATGAATTCAAAGTACTTAACTACCTTTCTGACTTAATGATTCATTCATTACATTCGTTTTATTTGACGATTGATCTTTTTCTAAAGATGCCATTTAATTTGAAAATATTGAAAAGTACCTTTCTTGTTCAACAAGAAGTTTACACTTTTCTCCATCAGTGTTTATGAATAAATAAAATTCACTGGTGACAAAATAATTTCCATTTTCGCTTGTAAATGAATGCCACTCGGCACATAACGATTTGTTAATATACTATGAATCTGAAAATAAAACGCAAAAAACCATGATCTTATGTAAACCCTGGCCATCTCAAGTAAATCCAAACTACAAAATCTGTTGGTATTTGTCAATTTACGCAATAATTATATTATCTGCTCCAGTCTTGGGCAGAACTAAAAGCTGAAGTGTCTACACTGGCCCTGATAGTATCTCTAAGTTCGTTCAAATGAATATGAGGTAGTTACAAAGTGCCATCTAAAGTCCCAAATGGTTATGTAAGAGAGCTATTAAGCAGTTGATAAATAAGACCAACCGTTAACGGTTACTTTCTTGCAAATAAGTATATACCAGATTAAGATGTTGAGGGTAGTGTGTCGAGAGGTTCATGTAACCGAACATACAACTATATCACCCCAATAAGTTTCCATTAACCAAATGATTGTAGCCATAAAGAAATTCGTAATTGCAAATCGCTATCATTTGATTGCAATTGTAATAAATGGCGGGTTAACCTGCAAAATGTCACTTGTTCAATTTTTTATGAGATGAACAATGTGAACGTTTTAAATATATGTTAAAATGCTCTCTAATGCGTAGAAACGAAACGACATGAAGCTACCGAACACATACTTTTAGTAAAAGTGGAGCATATTTTACCTTAGCCGCCAGATAAGTTCAATGCTTCATACGGTTGGAGATATCTTACCTCAAGGTCAGTCTTCGGAGGCAAGGTTAGGTCTACTGACCTATATTAATCTTTGCAGTCTGTAGAGACCCAGTTTCATTCTGAATATATTAACAGAAGGTGCTAATGTTACGTGTTTTCAACTCACCCGAGCCACTGGCAGTAAAACGTCTGGTGTGAGCGAAACAATCTGAGAGGATGACGGGATGCCAGTCACCAACATCCATCGACGTCTTGGACGATGGGCAGAATTCTTCGAAGGGCAGTTCAACTAACCTGCTGCTCCGGCAACATCGGTCAGACTGTCCTGCCCTCTATGGCCGGTGACGACTGATCCACCAAATGAGGCGGAAGTCCGTAAGGAACTCCAACTCTTGAAGCGCTACAAATCACCGGGTCCAGAGGACTTACCTCCGGCTCTTTTTAAAGATGGTGATGACTTTCTGGCTAAGGAACTGACTGTGTTGTTTACAGGGTTCTGGGAACTAGAGAGTGTACAAACGTCATGGAATGAGTCGATAGTTGTCCCTATCTTTAAAAATGGTTTACATCGTTGTTGTAACAAGTATCGGGGGACAAGTCTACTTCCGATTGCGTCCAAGCTATTGGCTTCCGTCATACTTCTTAAGTTGTTGAAAACCCGAGAAAGATTGATTCGCGAGGAGCAGGCTGGTTTTCATTCTGGTCGAGGATGTGTTGATCATATCTTCACCCTCCGCCAAATGTTAGAACACCGTCATATTTATCAAAAGCAGCAATCGTAGCTTTTCTTGACATCAGGGCTGCCTTCGATTCGTTGTACAAGGCTGTCCTTCTTTATCAAGTTTATAAGTTGTGTTAATTCCAAGGTTGCATATAAACCGTGCATAGGAGAAATAGCGCTTTAGACGACCGTTCATGTTCTGATGCCTCACAAGGCAAAACAGTATATGCGATAGTCTCTATTTAAAGTCTCACCTCTGCTGAAGAGGTCTCTTGACTTCATGTCTTGCTGATCTTCGTTTTTAATATACCACAGCCTTGTTTGGAACATAATTGTGTCGCATCTGCTGTTTTATAACAAACGAACAAGTCGTATGACAGCACAACCTGCAATTTTCTGTAAAATATTCCCAATTTTTTTGATGAGTGGCAGTGGAAGTGAAGTATTACTAATCGCAGGGCTTGGACGAAGGCAGACATTCAAATTTTAGGTTGCCGTAAGAAAACTTCCAAAATGCCAGACCAAAGACAGAGTGTAACCAAAATGTCCGAGCTCAAAGTTATAAGCATATGTGTTCGAAAGTTGAGTAGAACAGATGCATCAAAAACAGTGAAATTAATAATATTCTATGTAATAGACTTTATTCAGTTAGGTACTTTCAGTCCAGTAACACTCAAGATGAAGCCACTAGCTACTGAAATTTTGACCATCTTGTTGCTCTATGTATTTTAATTGCATCCTAGTGAAGTGCAAAAATATAACTAGGGATGCATCCTCTTTCCATAATATACAACGTAATCATAATGACTCCAATCATCACAGTTTTCTGTAATTTTCCTCCGTTTCCGATCACCTAAAGTTGCCCAACAAACCCGTTGAAAACCTAAGGCGCACAAAACCCCTCTAAAACGTTTCCATCCATGCTGTTCGAAGCTCACATAGGTAATAACATGACGATGGTAATAAGAATGATGAATTGTTGCCCAATTCGAAAAATTAACCTATTTGTTAAGGGTTAGTTCTTCATCCGATGTTTGAGACTACTTTTCGGATTAGCCGTAGCGCCGGAAATATAGGCGGTATATCGATCAAATTCCATACCGCTAAAATGTTATTCACATTATGCACGTTTTTCATGGTCGCTCTTTTGGTGGTCGTCCTTATGATGGATAACCCTGTAATTTTTCGCTCTCATCCTCGCGTGACTGTTTTGATCATGTTTCGTTCCTCTTGCCCGTTTGCAACATTCATTTTACGCTCGTCCCGGCTGATTTTACATCACACATGCATCTTCCTCGCAACAGAAAGTCAGTGTCATTTGTCATGTCACTACTTTAATAAATAAATCAGATATTTTAACGAATAACGTTGGATTTTTTTAAATCCTGCGACTATACATGAATATTTGTGTTTTTCATTCTACATGTAAGAATGTGATACACAGAAAATAAGATGGTGGGACGCGGATTAAAAAGGTGAGTTTTGTGGTTTGTAGATGAGTCTTGTAAATTTTAGATACAGTACAATAAGTTCCCAAGCTAAATTTCTACATTATAGGTATTGAACAAGATTTATTTTATACAATCTGAACTACATCGTTCACGATTCATTCATATGGACATGTACGTTGGGTTGTGCATAAATATGTATGTGAACCTATGTATGTTTGCCTCAGTCTTACATACGTGGTCGTTATGTGTATCATACCATTTTTATGTTCTATGTATTGTTCTGCTGGTGGTATCTCAATTATTTTTCAAAGATTCGTATGCATCAGAACACCGTAACAATCCCTGTGGGGCAGATGACGATGTGACTTCGGAGTAAGATCAAACAGATTGGCCATGACGAGGCAATAAATTTACACTAGGTTCATTAGTTTATCGGCTTACATGAACCAGACCTAAATGACCACAATATACCAAGTTTGCCCATCCCGTCAAATTAAAAATCAGAAATGAAGTGGTTCGAAAATATATTCGGAAGATTATTAATGTATTGCTAAGCGTTAAGTTTAACTTGGATAAAAGTTGTGAATGATGCGTAGAACGGTGTACTCACCTGTGTTCTGTTGCGGACGTGTGACCGAGTGCCTTATGGCAAGTGTATGCAATAGAACTAATGGGATCAACATAAATGTCGAAGACTTACAGAGCTATTTATTTTCGTCAACAAGTTTGAGCTAACTACCCCCGCAGTATGAAATTGAGCTTTCGAAAATCTCAATAATACACTTCTGTACTTTCAAAGTGTCGCATAGCAAGACCTCGCGATGACTTTAACAAAAGGAACCTAGACATTTGATGTAGTCTCGTGGGTAACGAAATAGATTACGCAAGATGTAACTCCACTATCACTCTTCCCATTAATAAATATTGTTTTTGTTCAGTGGATTTGAAGGGAATGTAACAAAAAAAGATATCCTTCCGTAACTAAAAACATCATTTTGCTATCTAGTAGTAGCCTGCGAGAGGCAAACTGCCTCACAAAGTTTGGGGTTTGAATTGCACCAAAGCAAGTTATAAATAATCTGTCCTTCAAGTGCTCCTTTAGTCGCGGGCTATTCGACAGTGTTTTCAAATGGTTAGTTCTTTTAGTTTTTTCAAAAGTTACCTAATATCTTGCAGTATAGAAGTAGCTCTAAATGCTCCAAGTTTTTAAATTATTAAGTAGCCACTAAAAACGGTCATTAGATCATATTCATCAATGTAGCAACTTGAGGACACGAATAAGTAGTCACGCGCTTTTTGTTTCGATTGAACTGTTAAACCTATACATAGGGTATATGGTCTCATCTCATGTAACACGTAAGTCTTATCGCCTCTAGAAAAGTCGAGGGATAACGTAAGCGCCTAGTATGGTCTCATATTTGAAATATCACGTGTTAACTAGTTCGTTATTTACTGTTCTTAAATATATAATCTCGGTGATAATCTTCAAAACAGTGGTGTTAGAAGCTCATTCAAAAGTTCAAAGAGCCTTGTGATGGTTGTTTCGAGTAATTAAATAGCTCGTCAATGTGTTTTCCAACCACCATGCCAGATTGGGACATCGATCCACCTATTTTGTATTGTCACTGAGATTATAATTTATGGACGACCTTTGAGCGACGCTAGACTAACCTTAAGAGTGTCCACCTACATACTAGGGCTGAATGAGGGCAATAAAGCAGTTTGAAGAATAAGGATTATGATTTTCAGTTGATGGTTTAGGTTAGGAATTAGATTTAGGGTTTTCATCGCGAACTGACATCAGCTATAGTGCCAAAACTCTATTTAGCCAAATGAGTGAATGGGTTTCGCGCCAAAATCTAAGACCTGTTAACGTAAATCCGATTGGTTCGTCCATGAATTATAGTCTCGCCGTATTGTCAATAAGAATTTTGGTTCGGTCAGTTCTCGACAACTGACTCGTATTAATATTTGAGATTCAAAGTTTTTCACGTAAGTGGAAAACGATGGAAGTACGGAAACACTAGTTCTCAGTTGTCCATAGTAAATTATATATGAATAATAAATCACATTAATAAGGATTTTCAAATGCTATTTAATAATAATTGAGTGTTTGTAACGCACTTAGTAGGTCTCAAACCACTTAGAGACAAACGAAGACTATAAATTCCAGTCAATATCTTATAACGTCAATTTGTGCTTCATGTCATCAGTTTTAGGATAGGGTAAATAAGTTTTGGCATAAGGACTTCAGTTTGACATACCCAAGGCTTTGCTCATTACCACCAAGTTCAGTATGACTGTTTCTGTCTCATTGTTCAGCTTTTCCCCAATACTGTTGATACCTATGTGTTTGTCATGTATCATACAAAATCTCACTTTTTCAACGTTACATCGATTTAAATACGTTGATATGCACTTGGCTAGCGTAAAAATAGTTTGGAAAAAGATGTGAGATTACTAAACAAACACAACAAAAGTGTAAAACGCTCCTATGAATTAAATTTGGTCAGGTTGGAAGGACCAGACTTCCCATTTATCTGCAAGATTATCATAATCTTTAGTTGAAAGCGTTAGGTAGCGTGCCTCAAACCTATTCTAACAGCATCTATGTATTCATTCATTATCTTGTACTGCGTATTAAACGTTGTACTATCTAATAACCCTCATTTTTATGTTTTACTCAACTCAACTTTGATTTGGGCACCCGGGCAGTATCCCAGCCCTCTCACGCATCGAATAATTCATGTGGCGCATTTCTGTTTGGTGCCTACCTGTACCGATGCTTGTGTTTAAATAAATAAGTAACTTTTCCACCATATTTAGCATTATTTTCATTGCTTCCTTTTTCTTATCGATTTTCCAAGTTATACCAGTGTGAAAAATAACAACTTGTTAAGATTCCATACCTTCGTCATGTCCCACCTAATTCTTACCACTTGCGCTCATTGATTTTGTTACTGCTTCAGAGTTTCTACTCATCGTTTTATCGTATTTGCAGATGTAACAATCTTTGGCTTTTATCCTTCTTTCGTCCTGCACCCTTACCATATACCTATTCGTCCTCGCTGTGCTAATATGAGATATAATAAATAAAATAGATGTATGTCCGTGCCAATATATCTGTCACCTTTGTTTTACATTAAGCTAAGTTTCTGAATTATCTTGTAAAAATGGGTTGAATAACAGGTCTATAACGAGGATATTCACATAAATGGTTCACGTAGCAATTCCTCGCATAATAACATCTATTATTTTATATTTCTGTGGGTCCTTACTAACTGTTATTGTTTATTCTTGCAGAGTAAAGTCAATCAAGAGTCATTGGAGGGTTACAATCCTTTTTCTGATCCAACCCCAAGTAAGTGTGATGAGATTATAGTGGTAGACTTTTATGTTGTTGGGCTTGTTTCAATACATAACTCATGAGTTCGGTTTGTTCTTAATAAGTTTTTCGATGTTACTATTGACACTGGTTAATTTGATTGTTAGGAATTCACTAAAAATTAAAATTCTAAGACGGGCTATGCTAATAACTACTTCGATCGAGTTTTCATATTTCCTGGTATTTCTTTCTGAGCGCATGAAGTTTGGTTTGGTAATAATACTTCATACATCTATTACTCAACGATAATCAATATTATATTCCAGTTATCATTTCTATCCTACTTATAATAGAATTATGTTGTATAGTCCAGGGGGTGGTAATAAATTTGGTTTAAGTGAATTTTTCCTCACATAAATTTGTAAAATCGTGAAGTTTATTAATACTTTCCACCAAAAAATTACCAGCAAACTAATATTTGGTGACAGTAGTTTTAGCTATGGACTGTAAGGTCAGCAGCCTATAGTATATTTAATCTATGTAGCGTATTTGTTCTGTAAATATTTGGTTTAAATTGTACTTGACACACAAGTTACTGTCTGTAATGCTTGTCTTCAGTTTGACCATGTTCTACTCCTTGTATTCACCGACTGCCCCGACGAACGCTGTTTTATGGTATAGCAGTAGGTTGGAAGAAAGCTAGGGGCGGCCAGACCAAAACATGACACAAATCCATGAAGTCATTGACAAGTGGACTGAGACATGGTGGTAGGTGTAGACTACTTGGTTGGGATCCGCGAAACGATAGCAACCGGTGGTTAGAGACCTTAAATTATATGGTTCAAAATCGTTTGTTATGGCGCAGGTGCATTCATTGTTTGTGTTCTCCCGAATTCTAATCTGAATTCCTCATGTCCCTTTCTTTTTTTCTCTTTCCAAATTTATTTTACTGCATTATACTCCTTGAATAACATCTTCAAACCCTAATGTTTCCGATTACTGTTTATACTCTTACTACCTTTATCATTATGGGATTTGAATCGACAATTGTATCTATGTGCTGATGTGGTATAACAACTTGAACTGATGTACGTACGTGCGATATTCTACGTTGCTGCTGACTGACTCCTTATATTCTCATTTATTCTCTTCAATTTATTTTATGAAGCTGTGACCCAGTAGTCAGAGCATTTAGCTTTCAGTCAGTAGATCATTAATTCGAAGGTTATTCCAGCATCTAATTATTATCCCTAGCCCCGAAACCAAAAAGAATGTATGGTTTTAAGTTGAGTGGATGAAGTTGTACTTGACAAGTGATTTACGGATCTAACTTATAAGGGACTTATCTAACTTAATTGATTAGACTAGATGAAAATCCTTATTACTTGGGGAAATAAACTGTTGTTAGCAAGATAAAGATTGGAATAAAGCATGTTCTATGAAGAATTGTGTTGGGTCACATTGATTGGGCATTTTGCAGCTAATCAGTGCCAGCAGATACTTGCAGAAGACTTTAATATCTTGTGTAAGATAATAAATATACTAACGTTCTCCTTATTGCGATCCCTACTTCCATTCAGCCTTTGTTTACTTGGAATATAATTGCGTTCCTGTCCAACTTTTTTCTGATTTGGTGACTTGTCAAGTGAAATAGTGTCCAAAGAATACTAAGCAATAAGAGTAGCTGGGTTGTAATAATAAGGGTCATAACAGCTGTATATTGTAACTAAATGTAACTTCACTATAACTTGGTTCTTATTTTATTAGGTAATTTATTTACTAGTTTTACTTAATTTTCACTAACTCGACATCTGAACTTGAATTTTTAGTTTCATGAAAATTTTTAATGGCCACCATTTAGTTCGATAAATAGTAACTAGTCGTTAGTTATTCATGAATAGTGTAGTACTCCAAGTACCCTGGTACGGCTGAGAGTGGGGAGAGTCCGCTCTCCCTCTCGAAATGCTCATACATGGCCACGCGTATATAACCTCTGTCAGGGAAGTCCTACTCACTGCCTTCTCGCACCACGAGTGTTGTTTACGAAATTGAGAGCACGAAAAGCGAATGTCCGGTGCTTTAACTCGGTTGGTGGACATGGAGAGTCCACCTAGGGGAGTTGGAAAACCCTGATTCCAAACCAACGGTGCATATGGGCTCCAGTATCCTGAAGGAACAAATGGCGTATGGACCAATCGTTGATCACCGGCTACCATGGGACTACATCTTCCTACGTTGCTCTACTGTCTTGTGGATCAGACCTTCAGGTTGAAGGCTCCGGGTGTGACCCCCTAAGAAAACCACCTGCTTCGGTTTGGGCTTCCGGGCAATATCACAGCCCTCACACATATCAAATGAGATCTTTGTGGCGCATATGCATTTGGTGCCTCCTTGTACCAATATTTGTGTTAAAATAAATAAATGAAATAACCTAACATAAATGGACATAAGTTAAGTTGCTACACTTTTTATCACCGTACAAGAAGAATATTGACGCGATTAAATTTAAAGAAATTAAAACATCAATCAAACTTATGAACTAGTATATTCAGGATGTAGACAAAGATAAAAACATATATGCCACCAAAATCTATTTTAACTCATGTTTTTACCTAAGGTTCTGGTGCGCTTATTGAAGTTGGAGAAGCGGAGTTTGAATATCCACTCCAACGGTTCGCGTTCGATTGCTCTAATCACTATTATTGATGAGTATAGTACGATTAGGAAGGATAACAACTTGAAGTGCTCCATTACTTTAATGAGTTGGATAAATTGTTTATGTTCATTCTTGTTCTTATCTTATCACTTATGCCCATCCACAACTACCTTGACGCGTGGTGATGGCTGTCGTATGAAGTAGGTTAGAAGAAAACTAAGTATGGGGAAACTAAGATATCGCATCAGTCCTTGAAGACAGTGACTGTTGGACTGAGCCATGTAGGTAGGCTCAGACTACCTGGTTGGCGTCAAAGTGATGATTGTAACTAATGGTTAGCTACTTTAAGTGACGTGTCTGAAAATCATCCCCAATGGTCCAAATGTATTCTCTTTGTCGCCCTTTAGATCATGAGTTTCTAGGTTCCTCATAAATTTTTATTTCACTAATTCTTATTTTAAATTATATCTCTGATCTATAATCTTTCATTCACATTAATAATGCTGCTCTGGAATTCGCTCTGACAATTTTATCTCGCTGTGCTGATAGGGTGCCGCAATTTGAACCGATGTACACATGTTCCAGGTTTAGGTTGCGTTCGACTCACTATGTTGATCATAGGTTCGGTGTTCTGAGCTCACTTTGTTTTTTAAAATAATGAATAAAATGCTGGTCGATTAATGATGCAAATTATGCCATGCAGTCCACCAGTAGCTGTTTTCTAGACTCAATTTAATGATTTGTCACATTCACTAATAGTGATTAAATGAAGAACAACGATTGAAAACTGGATAATTAATCAAACAACCCTAATAATCTGTTTTGTTATTGAAGCGAAGCACTTCTGCTTTATCTGTGACTTATTAATAAATATTAAGCATCCAACGAAATTTGTTACTTTATCTGTCGACCAGTTTTCTGTTAGTCCTAATAGTTCTGTTTCCTTTCCTTCACTCTTTTTTTTCGTTTCTTTCAAAGAATATGAATCTTTAACACCTGAAACTAACGAATCATCTTCAGATAATCGAAATAAAAATTATGTTTTCGATATTCCCCCACCACCAATACCACCTACGGAAATGTATCCACCATATTCAAAAGCTACAGCTGGTGGTGGTAATGAAAGCGTCTTAGCCTTGGAGCGTAGACAAGCTGAACTTGAAGCTCGTGCAGCCGAATTAGATCGTCGAGAAAAAGAACAACAAGCTCGTATGAATACAATTCATTCAGGTCCAAGTGAGTTTTGTTTTATATATATATATATATATATATATATATATATATCTTTTGTTTTCATTTCAATTAATAAGCATAAAACCTGATACAGTAGGTGTTATGACTTGAGATCGCTAATCGATATCACGTGTTAAAATCAACAATCAGAATTCTGACTACAATTTTTTCTATCTCGTGTCAACCATTCTGTTTATAACTCAACGTCCTAGAGTTGACTGGTTACACTCTTGACCTTCACAGTTAACCTTGAGTCGACGTGAACTGATTTCATATTGGTTCATTATTCTCAAACCTTTCTCTATTTCCTACCTCAAGTCTATAAGAGAATTTATACATCAGTCTCTATTATGTTACACTTTAAGTAAGTATGGGTTTGTATGCAAATATACTTGACCATATCGCATCAACAAACCAAAAGTGTTCATGAATAGGGTAAACTGTATGTAGTAGACTGGCAACAAATTAGTAAAATTAAGTCGTATAACAATAGTTAATGGGTTAACTGAAGGTTTATACATTGACCTTAATGATTATGCCACATCAGCACAACTAGACAAAATTATCTAGACACATCGCAAAGTATTGGAAGTAATAAGAGTATCGGTGATAGTAAACAACATCAACAACAACAATATGATTCGAGAAGAAAAAAACAAGTTTACTCAATAAAAATTATGAGTATTTTAGGAAGAGAAATGAATGTATCTGTGCTATTACAAATGATTTTCAATTGTCATTCAGTGTATTCAGCAGTTGCTTATAATAATCACACAGACTCCAATCAAGTAGTCTGTACCTACATCTACATGACTCAGTTCAACGAGTTAGTAACTTTCATTAAAATCATGAACCGATCAATATCAGACCACTCTTGCAAACCTGTAAGCACTGGACGGCTGTTTCGTCCTAGTGTGGGGCCCGTCAGCGATGCTCATCCACGATTGGTTGATGTTAGACATTAACTCCGTGGGATCCCGACTCTGGTTTAGCGGTCGAGTGTTCTCACGAGACCAGAGTTCCTGAGTTAGAGTCCTGCGTATAGGATCTTGGATGCTTACTGCTGAGGAGTTTTGCACTGGGACAAAACGACCGTCTAGTGCTTCCAGGTTTTCAATGGTGATCTAGTTTAGATCAACTCGTGATTTCAATGAAGCTCAACAATCTCCACAACTTCATACTAAAAGCTAGCAACTTCATAGACTGATACTACATTTTGGTTTCGCCCTTTTAACTTTCTTTCAACCTGCTGCAACTCCTGTTAATCCACTTCGACGTAAAGTTTAGTTCTGCCAAGTATTAAATTCCACTTGCCTGTATATATTCATATCTACTTTATTTCTTTTATTATGGATTCATGAAACTTTGAAATTCGTTACAAAGTATGTTGTACAGTTTAACGGTTTTTCACTATAATGACTCCAAAGCAGGGCGTAAGAATTCTTCCTAATCTGTTGTGCGTTCTCATTTCATATCTATTTGGACCTTTCATAAACACAAACAATACAATTTAAACGGTTTCTGAAATATTTTCTTACTTGCTTATGCCTGTTACCCCTTATGGAGTAGCATAGGCCGCCCACCAGGATTCTCTGTAGAAAATAACCTTGCTAAAAAATAGCACTAAACAGAAATATCTCTTTACTAAAAGTTAATTACAAACGTTTATATGTGTATATAATACCTACACGTTTTTAAATCGTTTATCACAAATGAACCAATTGATGAGAAGAGTTGTTTGATATTATCACATGTGATTTATGTAAGTAATGTATAACATAGATGTAATTCAATCTGTATTAATGCATAGTGTGATTATAAATACAAGTTAGAAATTGTTAAATCCACTTTGAATAAACATTATATCAGCTAATGTTATCCTAATTATAGTGATTTATAAGATAACTTTACAAATGATTAATTACCGAGTACTTAACAAAGTTATGTTTCTCTACTCTTTCTTAGTTCTGATCGAATTTTATCGACCAAGTTACAATGTGGTCGTTAATCTAAGCAATTCAACATCCTTTGCACCATGTCGACTTGTTAGGTGGTTTAAAAGTAGTCGAAAAGAAACCCTCCTTGATCTGATTTTTGTATTATTTGCCATTTATCATCAAGGCGTAGCTCTATTCTTAATCGAAGTGATACTTCCTGTGGGATTCGAACTTATATCTTTCATAAGAACTTTTCTTTAGGTTCGAACGAATAGTTTCACGGTAGTTGGGGTCCGAGTTCGTGTAAGACATTAAGAAAATTATGTACGTAAAGAATCTCAGAAATTAAACTTTAATGAAATCTAACATTTCGCTTGACAATTTGGCTCAAGCATTTTCAGGGAAATTTAATCAAACGCTAAAATCATCGAATATAAATGATTATATGGTTCTCCGGTTAACTGTGTGTACTAAACCAGTCATCCGATCATGTTAACAATGCTGAAAATAAGAATTTACTATAGTGAGTATGAAAAGGGGAGAAAATTGTGTTAAGATAACAGTTGTATGTATGTATGTGCGTGTAGATCTGATGCGAAAAAATCCATTGACTAACATCATCGCTGACTAGGGATTTTTGATTAAATTAGATAATTTGATAAATTAAATAAATCAAACATGTCACAGCATAAATAAACACAAGTTAACAAAAATAACTGTTTCTGAGATCGTGGAGAAGATTCGTAGCTCAGATGGATGATTTTGATGAAGTATTGTTCTCTGAGCTGGATGGTTTGGTAGTGGAGCTTTTATCGTTCTTCTGAACGACATCATAGTTGTATTTGGTGAAGACGCTGACAAAATGCAGAGTCTTCTGACCACTCTAAGCAACAATGCAAGCATGTTCGGCATGCGATTCTCTCCCTCGAAATGCAAAATGTTGCTTCAGGATTGGGTTACATCGACACCCGAACTAGTGATAGGGAGTGAAGTAGTTGAGTGTGTCGACCGCTTCACTTATCTTGGAAGTCTCATCAGCCCTTGTGGTTTAGTGTGTGACGAAATCTCAGCACAGATACAGAAGGCTCGACTAGCTTTTGCCAACTTGCGTCATTTATGGCGTAGGCGAGATATCCGTCTATCAACCAAAGGACGTGTTTACTGCGCAGCGGTTCGTTCCGTCCTACTTTATGGCAGTGAAACATGGCCGGTAAGAGTAGAGGATATCCGTAGGTTACTAGTATTTGATCATAGATGTCTTCGAAACATTGCTCGTATATCATGGGACCATCGAGTAAGTAATGCAGTTGTTAGGAAACGGGTACTAGGTAAGGATGGCAAATCAATTGATGAGGTAGTGAGACTTCATCAGTTGAGATGGCTGGGACACGTGTTACGTATGCCCAACGACCGACTGCCTCGACGTGCTATGTTCAGTGGTATAGGAGTAGGTTGGAAGAAAGCTAGGGGCGGCCAGACCAAAACATGGCACAAGTCCATGAAGTCATTGACAAGTGGACTGAGTCATATTGGTAGATGTAGACTACCTGGTTGGGGACCGCGAGATGACAGCAACCGATGGTTAGAGACCCTGAATGACATGACTCAAAATCGTTTGCAATGGCGCAGGTGCATCCACTCTCTGTGTTCTCCCAAATTCTGAATTCTTCATGTCCCTTTTTTCCTCTTTCCAAATTTATTTCACTGGATTATACTCTTTAAATAACATCTCTAAACCCTAATCTTCCCGATTACTGCTTATACTCTTATTACCTCTACCACTACGGGATTTGAATTGACAAGTGAATCTCTGTGCTAATGTGGTGTGGCAACTCGAACTGATGTACGTACGTACGAAGTTCTACGTTGTTACTGACTGACTGACTGACTGACTGAACGACATCATCAGCACAAATTTCAGGTAGAAGTGCAGTGTTCGAATTTCTCCACATATGGTTCACAGCTTGTCCTGTACACCTCGATGTTGATTGGTTCTTGTTAACATTAAACCTGTCATTGTTTACTTCTTTGTTTTGGTTGTATCTCCCATTGGTTTGATTTTTGTTCCTATGTTTGTGCATAATTTTCCTGGTTGGTTGATAAATTGGATCGATCTCAGTGTGCTTGTTTATCGCTGATTGATCTGAGTACCAAGCTTCTAAAAATTCTCTGATGTTTTCGGAATCGCCTCTATCCAAAATCTCCACATTTTCCAGTCGAATGTGTGTCCAGTTGTCCACGTGCATTGATATAAGTGAGCACATGTCATGGCGTCTGACTGCTAATTGATGTTCATGCAGGCGAACATGAAGAGGGCGTCCGCTTTGTCCGGTGTAGTGTTTTTTCGCAGTTGGCACAATTTATTTTGTAGATGATGTTTGGTTTGTCTTCGTTTGTCATTTCATCTTTCGGTTTGCATAGGATTGATTGTAGGGATTTTGTTGGTTTGTGTGCAATACCTATTCTATTCCCATCGGTGTCCCTTTTGTTTGTTCGTAGATTTTGTTGTTGAATTGAAAATATGTTGTTAAGCATAGATCGATGAGTTCTAGTAAACTTTGACTTTGGAGTTTCGTGTACTTTGCGAGATGTGCGTCGTTGTTGAGAAGCAGGGATAGAGTTTCCTTTGCTAAGTTTAGTTCATTTGAGGTGAATAGCGCTGTTACATCGAAAGATATCATCAGCTCGTCGTCGTTGGTTTGAATGTTCTTAATCTGGTCAAGGAATTGTTTGGGAGATTCGATGGAGTGGTTGGGTGAATCCACCAAATGTTTTAATATTCGTGAGATTTCTCTTGACAAATTGTACGTTGGTGTTCCGGGAAGTGCCACGATTGGATGTAGTGGGATGTTTGGTTTGTGTATTTTCGGCCTGCTGTAGAATCGAGGGGGCACTGGTCCATTGGATTTCATTCTCCATTGATCTTGCTTTGTTATTTTTCCTGCTTTGATGAGCTTGTTTAAAGTCTTTGAGATTCGGTTGTCTAGCCTTTTGACTGGATTTATGTCCATCAGTTTGTATGCGCTTTTGTACTCAATTAGTTCCTCGGCTTTTTCGACGTATTCT